CTCTCAGCAGTTGATGTTTCAAAAATCTTCTCAGTTTCTTCAACAGCCAAAAATAAAATCCAGCGTTCTTTGCTTATTCAAGATCATCCATCGCAATCATCACCAGCGTATCTCTGTTGTTAAAACAATTTACCATAAAAAGGTTCTTTTCATCCAGCTGGAGACACGGTCCTGAGCAGTCCAGTCCTTGCTCACTCATATCAGTCCACCTGCAATGTGGCATTGGTCCGTCGATCTCCTAGTGGTCTCTGCGACAACGCATAACTGTTATGGTAAATATTTATTTAACAAAGACAGAAATACGTGGTCCAAGAATGAAGGTCCTCCGTGAGATGATCAGCTGAGTTTTATTGCAACARCAGGAAACACAGACAACAACCTGGCCTGTCTCTGTGCCTCTGCTTCTCTCTGTCACTCTCTCCACACTGCTGTTATACACTGTTGAACACTGTGTCTCGAGAGGTCTCATATATATATTAACAAACACCATTCTGTCATCTTAGCAAGATTTGTTACAAGGTCAATGGAAAATACAAAGATAAACACAAGTGATATCTAAGAATGACTGTTGTTAGCAAATCTTGTTCTGACTTTAATCATTCTATCTGCAGATGAACAGCATGTCATGAAAACCTAGGTCATTAAAGGATGTCATGAATTATTTGCTTAAACATAAAAGTATCAGTTCCATTACAGAAATCATAGACTTTGTGTCAATAAGGGTCAATAATGAAAAAGACTGTCCAGATTGTGCAAAGGGCAGAGTTAAAACACCAGTATCTATGATGGTATGGGGTTATGTTAGAAGTGTCAACCACATTTGTGCTAAATCTTGTCTCAGTTTTGGCTATACCTCATGGCCAAAAATTCATCAGACCACACATTTTGCCTCATCTTTGGGAGACTTTGAATATGTGTTTGCTTAATTTAACTGGGATTTGATGTTTTTTTGTTGTTGTTGTTTTTTTGTTAGAAAAGGCTTCCATCATGCTACCCTACTCCATAGCCCAGAATATGGGAGATTGTTGTGACGTGTGTGCTCCTTGGCCTGGAAACCTTTTTTCCTCTGAATGCAGACATTTTTAACAAGTCAAATACTCATCATGCTCTGTGGTCAGCTGTCTGTCACACATTGTTCTCAGGAAAAACTGATAATCATCTCATGTTGTGATGACGTTCTGTTTTAGAATAGAGCTAATGTTGTTCATAAAATATTTTTAAAACAGAAACTTGAAGGGCACTTTAAAAAAGACCAGTAACCTATTTAGAAAAAAAAAAACTTTAGCTTGCACAACATTGTTTTAAAATGCTGGCCCATCCTCTGTGCTCAGCTGTCACACATCCTTCTTACTCTGCTGTTTTTTGCACAAAATTTAAAGAAATTAAGCTAAAACGATCCCTAAATTTTTATCTACAGTAACAAGAAGGTTGCATACCATCACAAATAGATCTGTGGTCAGTTGTTGAGAACAGTTCGAACAGTTCGCAAGCTTATTCTTAAAATAAGCTGTGAAGAAACACCGATGCATGGCACAAAAGTTAAGTAATCAGAACAAAAAGTAAAACAAACATTTTTGTTAGGAGTAAAATATTCTGTATTATTGTATATAACTTTTTAACTATTGCAATAAAACTTTATATGTGTTACAAAAGTTGTGTTCAAAAGTGATGCAGTGTGGCATTGCTTAAATGTGCACCATTCAAATGAAAAATAAAGTGTGCACTGTCCATAAAAACTCACGTTAGCCTTGACTTTCTATAATTTTTTATAGTCTCCAGTCAACTATAACCTACACGCATCATTGTCCCAGAATGCATTAGTGAACTGTGACCCCTGTAGGTGAAAAATATAATGATGATATACGTCTTTTAAAGTAATTTTGAGTTTTTACATTTCACAAACATCAACTTTTGGGATAACTAGGCCAACATGTGTGACTTATGGTTGATCCATTTATGAAAATCTAATTTCATAACCTTTTAAATTGGAAATGTCAAATCTCACAGTTTGACACCTTGTGTGTCACAGTTCAACAGTTCTTATTGCAGGGTCTAAGGTCAAAGTCAAAGGTCACATCATTCTTCAAATAGTTCCTAAGTGATAACTGTTTAACATTTAAGGGTCAAACAAACAAAGGGTCAAAACAAAAAGAAAGACCCACAACCTTTTACATTCAGTAACAAGGAAACTGCACACTGATAACACAGTAGAATTAAATAAGTTAACAATCTGAACTGGTAATGATGTTTAAGCAAACAAACAGCTTGTCATAACTTCTGAGCACACGAAGAAAATTTAAATGATGGAAACTAAGGGAAGTTGTAAATTGGAACACAACAAATCTAAAAATCTAAAATCTACAAAAACTAATACAAAAACCCCAACAACATGACAATCAGATTGCATTTTCACTTGTGAAAGTTACAAAGATACTGGCTCTGACATATAATTAGAAAAAGTGTTGGAGTGTTTTTTTATTTAATTTCTATTAAGGTGTATGTGAGTAACATATTAAAAGTGTTCAGTATTTTGTGTATTTAACCTCCGGCTCCACCTTGATGTAGGAGGAGACATAATCACCCACTGGTATCTACAGTATACAGTATATTCACCTATCACAGTTTGATCAGTCAGTCTTTTCCTGCTGTTTCAAACCCACAGCCAACCACAGAGATTAAAGACAGGTATGTTAACTTCTGTTGCATGTTTTTTTTTTTATTTTATTTAATTTTTTTTGGTGTTTAGTGTTAAATTCAGTTGGACAACATAATCATTTTATTACAGCTGAAAAGCAGTTATTGTTGGTTGTGTGTTTATTAAACATTTTTATGTTTTGTTTTATGATAGCATCATCTACCTTGACAGGACGAGTAGTTCTTATGAGGACCAAATCCCATCATTAACCTCAGCTCTAACACATACTTTAAAACTTGTTTATAAGTAGAGATGGGAATTCTGGCTCTTTTTAGAGAAGTGTTTCAGATTTTGTAGTGTTGTTTTTCACCTCCCTGCCACTGTTCTGCCAAGTGAGGACAAAAAGACCAACTTGTAGAAACCACAGTCTGTCTATGAGACATCCCCCATTAATGGGTCAGAGTTAGGCTGTAGTAACTCAAGTCAGTTCAAAGTCCCCATAAAGATAATGGTACTAGACTTTGCATGTGTATGTGTGCATAACCTCTAAATCCATCTTGATGTAGAAAGTGACATTATACTCATTGATTTCCTCATGTTCACTTCATTTATTACAGTTTAATCAGTGAATCTTTTGTTGCTGTTTCAGTCAGAAGCAATCAGAGTTCTCAAAAAGGTATGTTAATTTGGTTGTCAAAACTTTTAAATCATCTTATTTAYGTTTATTTTTATATGTATCTAAAAACAACAGATATGAATATAAAATGATTTCTTTACATTTGAACTTTTGAATTACTAGATGCTGATATAGTGCTTATTTTAATGGAACAGAGATACTGATATACGCTTGGCATGATCAAACTTGAAGAGAAATTCACTTTTAGCCTCCTTGTTGTGGTACTTTAGAAAATTAGGAATATTGTTAAAGTCATTTAGGATATCTTGTGCAATTTATAATTTATGTTGAATCTGCAGAATTAAGAGGCATGATGCTCAAAGAGAAAATCTCAGGCCATGTCAATAAAATTGTGCTTTTTCATATTAATGGTAATGGCAAATGGACTGAACTAGTGCTTTATCAAGACCCTCCGGACCCCAAAGCGCTTTACAGTTACAGACATTCACTCATTCATACACACATTCACTCACTGATGGTAAGCTACATTGTAGCCAAAGCTGCCTTGGGGCACACTGGTGCCACCACACCCTCTGACCACCATCGGTAGGCAAGGTGGGTGAAGTGTCTTGCCCAAGGACACAACGACTGAGACGGCTGGACGGGGGATTGAACCAGTAACCTTCCAGTTCCAAGATGACTCCCCTAACCACTCCACCAAACCCGCCCTATAAWATTTTCAGATTTACAAATAACAGTCCTTTATTTTACAACATAATATCAAGAAAGCACAGGATTTTTAGATATAAAAATTGTGCAATTTTTTGTTGTTTTACTTTTAAGAAACAAATAGGTTTAAAAAATATTGCTTGGTTTGTATTTCTGTGTTCTTTTGCAGTGATGGAGTTAATAACATCTTCTCCTGTTTATCACGTCAACTTAACTAATGGGTCAAACCCTTACCTTTGGGTAAAAAGACCTTCCATCGCATATTTGATTGTTCACTTGCTGACCTTCATCCTCAGTTTGCTCGGGAATGGAGTGGTTATCTGGGTGACCGGCTTCAAGATGAAGAAAACTGTGAACWCAGTTTGGTTCCTCAACCTTGCTGTGGCCGACTTCCTCTTCACAGCATTCCAGCCTCTAATCTTCACTGAAGTAGCAATGGATTTCCACTGGCCATTTGGGAAATTCATGTGCAAGCTGACTTATACTGTACTCTTTCTAAACTTGTATACCAGTGTCTACATCCTTGTGATGATCAGTGTGGACAGATGTGTGTCTGTGGTGTGGCCCGTTTGGGCCCAGAATCACAGAAATGTATGGAAAGCTTCCATAGTTTGTCTGTGTGTTTGGGCTCTGGCTTTAATCCTCAGCGCTCCATACTTTGTCTTCAGAAACACTGCTCAATCAAAGTACAATAAACACATGATCCGCTGCTTTGACAACATAATTTACTCTGAAGACCAAACTCAATCTGGGATTCAGTTACAACTGTTTCGTCATCAGGCCATGACCATCACTCAATCTGTATTTTGGTTTGTCATCCCCTTCACTGTCATTGTCTCCTGTTATGCCGTCATAATACATCGACTTCACAAAAACCGTACCCTGGCCAGCCAATCAAGTCGTCCTTTTAAAATCATTGCTGCCATCATCGTCACCTTTTTCCTCTGCTGGGTTCCCTTTCACATCATGAATTTAATACTAATGATGCATCACAAGACAAATTATAAAAGTGTAACATTTAACCACATCCTCACCATCATGTCTCCCTTGGCATTATACCTGGTTTGTTTTAACAGCTGCATAAACCCACTTCTTTATGTGTTCATGAGCCATGATTTTAAGGTAGAAATCCGTAAATCCATCCTGAAGGTGTTGGAGACGGCCTTCCAAGAAGAACCACCTCCCGCTAACATCCGAACAAACTCAGTGGTCATCATTTACAGCAAGAAGACTTCTGTTAGTGTAGTTTGATCTGTTCCCTGATTTAAAATCGTATATACTGTACATTCATTGAATATTATCTATGATGTATGTGAACAATAATTTGAATGTGCTGAAATTTTTGATGTTTGTGCTCATATACTCTGTCGTTTATAATTTCTCTTTTTTTTCATAGTCACATGTATCCTTGAGGAAATATAATCCCTACATGCAAAACTAAAATATTATTAGCTTTTAGGGGTGTACAAATCTGTTATCAATATTGGATATCAGTAGGGGTGTCCCGATACCGATACGGTATCGGGTCCGATACCAGCATCAAGTAGTCATACTCGTACTCGTAAAAGCCGGCCGATACTCTTTACCGATACCGCTTTTGTCCCCTCCTAAGGGTAAACAACAATCCATACCAGGCGGKGGCGCTAATGCACTGACAAGTTGTCCTGATGCATCTCAATAATCCAGGTAAAAAATCAAAAGGAAAAAAAATTGTATAGGTCTTCTGGACGGGTTCTTCTTTAATGAAACGGTTCGTCTCTCTTCCAAGAGACTTCTTCAGTCTGAGAGTTTCAGGCAAAATTCAGGCTTTTAAGCCCTGCCTCCATGTGACTGATACTCACATCACATGGCNCTGGACGGGGGATTGAACCAGTAACCTTCCAGTTCCAAGATGACTCCCCTAACCACTCCACCAAACCCACCCCATAATATTTTCAGATTTACAAATAACAGTCCTTTATTTTACAACATAATATCAAGAAAGCACAGGATTTTTAGACTTAAAAATGTGCAATTGTTTGTTGTTTTACTTTTAAGAAACAAATGGGTTTAAAATTGTTGCTTGGTTTGTTTTTCTGTGTTCTTTTGCAGTGATGGAGTTAATAACAACTTCTCCTGTTTATCACATCAACACAACTAATGGGTCAAACCCTTACCTTTGGGTAAAAAGACCTTCCATCGCATATATGATTGTTCGCCTCCTGACCTTCATCCTCAGTTTGCTCGGGAATGGAGTGGTTATCTGGGTGACCGGCTTCAAGATGAAGAAAACTGTGAACACAGTTTGGTTCCTCAACCTTGCTGTGGCCGACTTCCTCTTCACAGCATTCCAGCCTCTAATCTTCACTAAAGTAGCTATGGGTTTTCACTGGCCATTTGGGAAATTCATGTGCAAGCTGACTTATACTGTACTCCTTCTGAACTTGTATACCAGTGTCTACATCCTTGTGGTGATCAGTGTGGACAGATGTGTGTCTGTGGTGTGGCCCGTTTGGGCCCAGAATCACAGAAATGTACGGAAAGCTTCCATAGTTTGTCTGTGTGTTTGGGCTCTGGCTTTAATCCTCACCACTCCATACTTTGTCTTCAGAAACACTGCTCAATCAAAGTACAATAAACACATGATCCGCTGCTTTGACAACATAATTTTGTCTGAAGACCAAACTCAATCTGGGATTCAGTTACAACTGTTTCGCCATCAGGCCATGGCCATCACTCAGGTTGTATTTTGGTTTGTCATCCCCTTCACTGTCATTGTCTCCTGTTATGCCGTCATAATTCATCGACTTCGCAAAAACCGCACCCTGGCCAGCCAATCAAGTCGTCCTTTTAAAATCATTGCTGCCATCATCATCAYCTTTTTCCTCTGCTGGGCTCCCGCTCACATCATTGGTCTAATTGTATTGGTGTATCACATGAATAATTATAAAAGTGTAAGATTTGACCACATCATCACCATCATGTCTCCCTTGGCATTATACCTGGTTAGTTTTAACAGCTGCATAAACCCACTTCTTTATGTGTTCATGAGCCATGATTTTAAGGTAGCAATCCGTAAATCCATCCTGAAGGTGTTGGAGACGGCCTTCGAAGAAGAACCACCTCCCGCTAACATCTGAACAAACTCAGTGGTCATCATTTACAGCAAGAAGACTTCTGTTAGTGTGCTTTGATCTGTTCCCTGATTGAAAATCTTATATACTGTACATTCATTGAATATTAGCTATGATGTATGTGAACAATAATTTGAATGTGCTGAAATTTTTGATGTTTGTGCTCATATACTCTGTCATATATAAATTTCTTTTTTTCATAGTCACATGTATCCATGAGGAAATGTAAATCCCTACATGCAAAACTAAAATATTATTAGCTTT